CCTGAGGATAACTGCTCTGACTATTAAATGGGGAATCATGGGGAAAAGGTGAATCTAAAGAGCTATTGATGTGAGGAGAAAAAACTGAGCTTATGTCTGTATTGTGATACTCTTTTATTAGTTATGAAGACCTAAAACACAGCAATGGTGATGACTTGCTTCCAAAACAGCATCAGCACTTTAGAGTTGAATCCTGATCCTGGGGAGTGGTGGCCAAAGCTGTGATGAACCCACCTGGCCTTCTTTCTTCCCCCCTCCCCCCCCACCCCCCAAATCAGGGTGTAATAGAAATGGGCTGAAACAGCAGTTTTAAACATGCTGTAGCCAATTTTGTGGCGCTTGCTGGTTCATATTCAACAGTGGTGAGCCTCCCTAATGTGAGTAAGGCCTCAAAGACTTGTTCACCTTTGCTGGGATGGCAGGTGAGAATTTTGCTGCATGGGAGGGAAGCAAGGGACTATCCCTTGCCGCTAGCTGTTGGCTGCTCTGCGGCGTTGGTCATCTGTGCGGCAGGGGTGTTCTTGCTGCTCAGGAATTTTTGAGCCGCAGCATGTGGGTGTGTAGGATGGAGGCCATATGTCAGAGCTCCTATGTGGCCAGCTGAGAGCTACAGCTGCCCTAGCTGTACATGCTGAACCTCTCTAAGATGGGGTATGCAGCCCAATGCTCGCTACCATCATTCATAAGCTTGTGCTCAGCTCCAGGACCCTCCTGTGGTTCTGATTCCTGCCCATACCCTTCCAAATCAGAACTCAACCCTACTCCTGATCCTTACCCTACACTTCAAGTCTCCCAAACAAGTCTCCACACTCCCCAACCCAAGATCCTAATCCCATGTGCTGCCCTATGCTTGGTTATCTACCTACCCATCAGCTATGCCAGCTGCAAAGGTTCCTGGAATGAGAGGGTTTGGGGAATGTGCTGCACCTGGGAGTGTAATTTGTGTTTACTTCTCCTGGGGCTTCATGCTTAAAGCAAGGAACATAAAATGTGTGTCAACATGACTGATATTTCATATTTTTAAAAAGTGCTCATTTAACTTATTTCCCTCAATCTTTTTTCCCTCCTTTTTTTTCCCCCAGTTTAAGCTTTGGATAGATCCTAGAATCAGGAGGAAAAATGAGAAAAATTATTCTTTCATTATGAATTTATTAAGAAGCAAGAAGAGCACGTAGCTTAGGTACAGAATGATTCACATATCGCTTAAAAGACATTAAAGAATAAAAAATTCCAGGTAGACTCCGGAAGACTCGAGTGATATGAATCCAGTGATAGGACATGGATCACTGGAAAAAAGGCATGTTCATCCTATTTGGTCTTTGTTCTGTGGTTATAACAAAATCTAGTGGAGGCTCCAGACAGGCCCCAGGGAAGACTGAAAATGTTGAGTGCTGTAACTGCACAATATGTGATACATATGAAAGTCTTTAGCCTGTGTTAGAAACAGATACCTCCATAACTTACTGCAAAAAACCCTAACATTTAGGCTCTTGCCTGTTCTGCCTCATGCTGTTTTCATCCTAAGATGAGAATGTTGGTATCAGATACTTTCTACTTGCAGCTGTATATATTAGAAGCAAAAAGTGGGCTACAGTGTGCATTTAGAGATAAAATTACCACTAGAGGGTCTAGCGACTTCTTGAATATAGTGAATTATAAAGAGGAATAACATCAGAACCACCATGTGGGGATTACTTCCTTCAGAATCATTGTAGCATGCAAGCAGCTCACTTGGCTTGAATAGCTTTTGTAGTCAGTAGCTTTCATGAAATTGGTTTGTTGCTAATAATACTCTAAATAATTTTTCACGGTAAAATCAGCACAAGCGACAGTGGCGTGATCTTCATTAGTCAGCTTTGCTGAAATAATGTAATCTCCCTGTATGAGACAAACACAAAGCAAGAGATTAATCCATCAGTAGTATATAACTGCTTCTGTTTCTATGAGGGAGTCCTCTTCCTAGAAACAGAATAACACTCTTCCCATCGAGTTCCCCCAAAACCTTTCCTGTCCAAACTGTTTCAGAGCTGGTAAAAGGTTTGCCCATATTTTCTGCCAAAATACTCTCATCAGAGATATCAATGCTGACAGCACAAGTTCAAAATTGAAACGGTGCAAGGGGAACAAATGTTTTGATGCATAAAAATTCCTTTCAAATCTGTATAACTTCTCATGTTTCTTATGAGCAAGCACAATATGGCCTGTGCTGTTTAGTAACTGGAAGGGGAAGAGGTGCTCAGTTGTCTGGCATTTCTCTTCCTTCGATCTTGTTGTTCAGTGTGTGTATGGATGTCTCAATGTGTGATGAATTCCTATATAATAAAACAAGAGGTGGTTAGGTAGTTTAATTTCAGATTGTGTAGTTAAAATGACAAATAATTCAGGCTTTGGGGAGAACTTGGATCATTCCAGTGCAAAAAATTTCAACCTTAAAGAAGCCATGGCTTTTTTGTATTGGTCAAAACTGTTCTCTCCAAACACTTGGACAAGAAGCAGCATTGGGTAGGGGAGGTGACAAGGCTCATTTAACAGGTTTGGAGGAAGAGGTGAACTAGATTTCAGTCACCCTAGATTGCTGGCACTGCAGTATTTCTTTCTGCTTTTTTCTGGAGGGGAGCAAAACCTGGGCTAGGAGAGCTTGGCAGCAATGGCCTCCTGGCTTTGAACCATAGAAAGCTCTTGCCTGGCTCAGGACTCTTCTGGTTGCGGAGTACAAAGAAGCACAGCTAGAATGAGTCAGGCTTCTTGGCATTTACCTTTTACCATGGGATTTCTAAAGCAATAACTGGTCTGTGTCCTCAGAGAGAGGTTCAAGCTAAGTGTGACATCCAAATTTAGAGAAAGGCCCAATGGCAACATGCTCATGAGAATACAGCCTTGTTGTAACTGCTGGGCAGACTCCACAAATGTCCTTCAGGCTGCTCAGATGAGGCTGTTCTTTGTAATGAGCAGAAGATGATTGCTGCGTGGAATAACTCCTTATTGCCAGCGTGGAAGAATGGCGTTATTTGATTGGTCGATTAATTAACAAAAAAGGCTTCCTATTCCCTTTATCACAAGCATGTTAATTCTCCAAAAGCTTATAGTTTCATTCATGGAAGGGAGCTTATTGTAACTTCCATTGCTCGTTAGTGATTAGATTTTTTTTTTTCCTCCTCCAGAATAATTTTTTGCTCATGGGTAAAAATTGTTATTGAAAGAAGATTGTGAACAGTCTTAGAATTTCTGGCTCCAAATTCAGCTAATTTGCCCAGAACTGCAGTTTTACTGGTCTGTGTGGATGTTTCTAGGGCTTCCTCTTGGTCTAAAAACCTATTCCTCAGCTTGTCTAGAGCCTTTACTACAGACGTGTTCTCAGTATGTTAGTAAAGCTGCTCCTGGAGCAGGATGCTGACTCATATGAGCTTGGGCACTCCAGTGTCAGAGGACAAAAGGCATTGCTAAACACAGCATCTCTAGGCATAACCTTTAGGCAAGCAGGCTGGTAAGGGTAGGATAACAGTCTGCATAAGGGGCCCCAGCTCTCTGTGTGAAAGCCTTGGAAAATAAAGGTTGTGGTTGCTGCTATTACCAAGGGAAGACTGAGACACATGAGAAGGTAGCTGTTACGGAGGCTCAATCCTCCCAAAAGCCATCCTTGTTATCACCTCTGCTGGACTTGGCAAGCCTGGCTCTCTGGGACTCATGTCCTTGTTTTGTAGCCCTGTTTTGATCCTGTCTTCTCCTTTACCTGCACCTGGACCAATCCGGTGCTGAGCAGGCCCCAGACCACATCTTTGAGGCTGTGACATAGGTTTTGTGTCTGCTGGTGAAGAACTGAGAGCTCATGCTGTGCTTCTCTGTGTGAGTAAATATAAGGAGTGTTTGACTGACCACCTGAACTGTGTGCTTTTGCAGTGGTGACCATGATTCTTTTTCCACCACATTCTCAACCAGATGCCTTGATGATCCAGATCTTGCCTTCTCCCCTTCAATCCAGTCTCTTTGTGTATGTGGCTAAAAATCCTTTCTTATTTACTGGTCAAATATAGCTTCATGTTGTGCCCAGCTAAGAAACACTGTGGTGTATTCAGCATTTGAGACCTATCTTGCTTTGCAATGTGATTTGGTTGACCTTTAAGAAGGAGACGTAGCTGAGTGTGGAGAAGGCTGCTTGTGAAGAGCAACTGTAATGGATGACCAGGAAATTCAGAGCAGTGCCTAGAGTACTGCCTGTTTTCTCACCTTTCTAAGAAATTACTTTCTTCGTTTAAGGCTCCATAAGTCCAGAGAAAGTGTTCTTGGCCCAATAACTTGTACTTTCAGTTGCAACCTAGAATACCTCTGTGTCTGTATCTAACACCATACGTGTGTATACATGCAGTGGAATACACACAATTGCAATAGTTATCTAAACTGCCTTTATAGCCAGTGAGGATGAATGAGCTTCTCCGCATTGTTCATCCCAGTAAGGAGTGAGCTGAATTGCAGCCTTGGTCTCTCAGGAGTCCCTTGGAGCTGATTCTTTTGTTGCCATTTTAAATGTAGTAGAGGGGGAGCCTACTAAAGAACTGTATGGCTGCATGACTTAGTGCTGGTAGAGGGGATCTGCTATCCTAAGAAAACCTGTCCATCTCTGGATAATGGCGGCTCTTTAATGCTTTAAGCAAAGCCACTTAATTTTGTATTGAAAAGGATTAATCATGTAAACACTATCAGATCCAGTGTGCCAGCTGGGGAACTTGGAATATGCTGATGTGATTGCTGGTAGTCCTCTGACCATACCTCAACCAGAAAGCCTTTCTGCTTGGGAACACAGCTGTGACCAACTTACTTGTGGGATTTCTTTGATCCCGAGTGTGACTGGTCCCTCATAGTAGAGGTGTTCTGAAAAGCAAAAATGGTGATGGGTGGTTAGACATGCAGCATATGAAGGAAACAAGCAGCTGCTTTTTTGTAATAGCACTTCAGAGTGCTCCAGTGACAAGTGTTATGGAACTGCAAAGTGTTCTAGACACAGTCTTGCAACAGCCCTCCTGAGAGAAATGTCAGGATGTGTACTGCCTTATGGGGAAAGCAGGGCAGAGACTGGGCTAAAGGAGGACCTGCAGTCCCTGCCTGAGTGGAGGAGGGGGGCATGGCTTTGCACAACTGGGTGGGTGTTCCTAAGTCAGCGTGCATCCTGCAAATGGGGAAATGGGAGGAGGATTGCCAGACACAAGTCCTTTAGCATGATCTGTTAAACACCTGCAGCTGCAATAGTTGAACTGTACTGTTTTGGTAACTTTAAGAAGAACCAATCAGAGCTGAGTGTTTCTGTAAGTGTGGACTTCTGACTGCTTGCTGAACATGACCTTCAAGTAGTAAGAGCACGTCTATCTCACTGCTGAGGGAGCGTTCACCAAGAAGTTACATGATGTGCTAAAGCCATCACAAGTTGTGTTGGTGACTGGAATAGAGCCCAGGAGTTCCACCTTCTAGTCCTCATCTCCCTAATTGTGAGGCATGCTTGCTTTTTGCTTTTGAAGAAAGGGCAACTTTGGCATTAATGGACAGAATTAGCAAGCTGTTCTGCAGTTCCTCCTACTTTTTCATAGCTTACTGGGCCAAATTGTGCAGACTTGACTGAAAATAAAGTTTATATATGTTTCAGTATCTCAGAATTTCTTGCACAACTTGCCCTCCACAAGTCATGAAAAAGTCTAAGAACTGCTTAAGGATTCTCTTTTGTAGGTGTCATGAAATATTCTTTACTTTGACAGTGACAGAGGAGTAAGTGTTTCATCATATTTATATGAGTATGTGCTGGCATCTTGATGCTTGTCACTTCTAAAGAGTAGTTTTAGTCCAGTCTCACTGTCTTGGTTTAAACTGTTTCTTGTGAAAGGTTGGACAAAAGGTTTGTAATGTGTTTATGTCATATGGTCCATCCCACCATGCAGTAGGTATCTGACTTGGAAAAGAGTCTGCAGAAGGTCTTCTCCATACATGTTATGAAATGTTAGTCAATGCCTTATAATAAACTTATCATGACTATAAGATAAAATAGGTAAAGAGTAGGAGAAACCTGAGACATCACCTATGTCCTGCACCTTTGCATTAATGAGGAGTTTGTTAAACGTAATGCCCTGATGATCCTGGCAGGTGGATAAGATGCAAAACTTCTCAGGATTGTCCTGAAAAACCTAATACCAAAACCAAGAATAAAATAAGTATGTTTTGGCTTGTCACTCCCAAACTGATCAATTATGTTGCAGCACTCATACTGTACTCATTCCCCTCTGCATCCCTGGCTACTTCACCTGGACACCAAGAAGCCTCTTCATTTTCAAAGAGCAGTCACCATCGCTGCTTGCTTCTGTGCATGAAGCAAGAGCCCTGGAGTCTGACACTTCTCCGCTGCAGAGAGCAGTGACTCAAGAATTTTAAAAATACAGTAAACCCACTTCTCAGTTCACAGCTTACTGGAGTCTAAATGGGAGTTAAAGGCACTGCAGACTGCACGACTTGGGTGATGAACGACTCCCTTAGGACTTGAGCTGTATGTGTGTTGATGTGTGCTAAGCCATATGGCAAGCTGCCCCCTCAGGGTGGTGTGGAGCATGCAACGGCATGGCTAGTGGTTTGTGTGTCCTTTTGTTTAGTAGAGATCCTTGTTTGACTGTCAACTCTGAGCCTAGCAAATCTTGGATGGCAGCAGAGGAGAGTGAAGAGGAAACTGGGCTGTGAACTATCACATGTCCTTCTCCACAGGGACATGGAAACTCCTCTTGGATCACGTGGCTCGTTAGGGCCTCACCTAGGCTGTTGGAAAGCCATCCGGAATCTAAACATACAGATGCAGCATCCAAGCTCTGCAAAGCCTGTATTTTAAAATGAAGTGGGAGTCATCAGGCCATAAATTTGCTTCTGAAATGATGGCAATGCTAATCTCTCCTTCAGTGTAGGTAGAAGCTATTTTTTTCCTACTTTGCTGTGACAAAGTAATGATTACATCAGAGCTAGATGAATGCAGTCTTTGGGCTCTGCCTCAGCCCTCTCTGAGAAGTTTTCCATGATTGCTCTGATTTGTGGTAGCTATGCCTTTCCTCAGTAATCAATGGAGTCACTCTCATAGGCTGTACTATCTTTTAGGGAATCTCAAACTGTGGAGCTAGGTGCTGTGTGTCCAGTTTGAGGTCCATGTTTACTGCTTTGTGCTTTAGCATCGCCCTTATTTAGCTCTTTCTAACCAGGGGTCTTGCAGTGGTTCACAGTTATTAATCATATGGAGCTACTGGAGAGAGTCCAGTGAAGGGCCACTGAGATGATTAAGGGACTGGAACACCTCTCCAATGAGGACACGCTGAGAGAGCTGGGACTGTTCAGCCTAGAGAACAGAAAGATTGGGGGAGAGCACATCAATAGGTACAAATACCTGAAGGGAGGATGTAAAGAAGATGCAGCCAGGCTCTTTCCAGTGGTGCCCAGTGACAGGGCAAGAGGCAGTGGGCACAAACTGAAACACAGGAGGTTTCTTCTGAACATCAGGAAAGACTTTTTTTTTTTTACTGTGCGGGTGACTGAGCACTGGCAGAGTTTGCCCAGATTGGTTGTGGAGTCTCCATCCTTGGAGATACTTAAAAACCCCACCTGGACATGGTCCTGGGCAACCAGTTGTAGGTGGCCCTGCTTGAGGAGGGTGGAGTTGGACCTTCAGAGGTCCCTTACAACCACAACCATTCTGTGGTTCTGTAATCAGGCGTCCAGAAAACTCTTGTGACCTTCCTTGCTTCAACAATGGGGTGGGGGGGAAAGGACTATCCTGCTTTGAAAGTATGTCCTGATAGGAAAGCAAGGGCAGCTTTCATTTTCAGCTAGTTGAGACCTCCCAGGGAATAATATGGATCCATAGATCTGCTTAATTTTATCGTTTATACTCACTTTAGACCACTGCAACCTCCTCAGTGCCTATGCTAGCTGGATCAGGCTTTTCAAAGCCCATTCAATGTTCCTCTCGCATGAGGATTTCTGCTATAATTCCACAAGTGTAAACATCCTCCAAGGCTTTAAGGACTGTAGTTTATTACAGCATCCTTCATATACTCATACATTTTTCTCCATATATTCATATATTTTTGCATTCCTCCATTGAAAGAGGATGAACACATCTGTTGCAATAAGTGTAACTGTCACAAACACTGAGCCTAGCTCATTGAAAGAATTCTGTGGTCTTTTTAGAGCAAGCCCAGATGTAGTTTCAAAAATATACAAACATTGGGAAGAACATAAATCATGAGTGCATTTTTCCAATTAAAAATTCCCCTATATCTTTATTGGCCTGCTGGTAAGTTATAGTATCTGTCAAGCATGCTGTCATCAGTGATGTGCTTTCAGTCCACCTTCCATTTTCAGCCCTTTTTCTTAAAGACTTAACTGAAGGTGACTTCTGTAGAGCATCCTGGAAAACATTTCTAACGTACTACTGATTCAAGGTGATATTACTGTATCTGTTGTAGCTGCTTTTCACTATTGTTTCTACCAAAAGTAACTTAGTCCTTTTCCCTGCCACTGAGCAGGTCTCTAGTAGCTTCCAGTATGAAGCAGAGCTTTCAAATGTGTAAGAACTTCCTGAGGATTACTTCAAGTTACTAGTTATCATTTATCATGAAGATGCCTCTCATTCCTGACAAAACACCTATAATGAAATTCTCACTCCTCTTTCTCAAATCTTCCTTGCACTGAAAAGTCTTTAAATGTTCTCACAGTCTTGTACTATATAAAGGCCCTGTACATCTGCACCCACCTCTTCCTTTTTCTATGTTTTAAATCTTTTTAGAACTTAAATGCTTCATGTTGGAGTTCTTCTAGGACATGATCTTGCACCCATGCAACTGACACACAACTTCTGTGAGTTTTAGGGATGCAGGAATGATCTGAATAACTGCCAGCTATAGATGTATAGTTGAGTGAGAAAAATGTATATAAATACATAGCTGGGTGAGAAACATCCGCTCTCTTTACTGGGGAGGAAAAAGTGAGATGAAGGGGCTGAGCAAGATGGCATTGTGTATCAGCCCAAAGACCTAGCTTTGTGGTGTGGCTGCTTTCTCAGAAACATGTACCTATACTCTCAATGTGATACCCAGTTCTGTAATTCATGCCACATTTTCTACTTTTATTCACAAATACTATTTTAGCAACTTGCTCACTGTAATACCTACCGAAAGAGACAATAATGTAAGGAACAGAGGACCGAAGCAAGGGCGGGGGGTGTTTCTCTATGGTTTGGGAGTGTGCACAAGGAATCATGCAAGTGCTGTGATGGTGCCTTTATCAGTTGGGGCTGAAAGAAAACTTGTGGACTTGCAGAGGAAGCAACTGTCTTTTGTCAGGAAGCTTTGTTTAAGCCTGCAAGTTGTGGTTGGCACATTGCTAAATACTACCCTGATATGTCTTTTTCTCTGATTTTAGTGATTGCATTGGGAAACCTGTTAAATCTTACATAACTACTTTCTTTGGAGGAAATAGGGAATAACCAGCACTTTCTACTAAAAAAGAGGAAGAGTTGAGTTCATGTTATGCCACAAAGAATTTAGCAATTTTGTTGTTACTGTTCTTAAATGGACAGTGGCCCATTTCCTTGCAGTCTTTTGAGCTAGCAACTTCACAACAGGCACATAGCTCAAAGAAAAAGATTTTGGAATCCTATCTAGGAGTGCCAGATGTGACCTTTGCTTAACATAAATAGTAAATCCTATATGATTATGATGAACGTGAAACCCCCAGCTATATTAAGCCTCCTAAAGTATTTCCAGTTATGGTAAAACTGTAGCATCGTAGGAGAGCAAAGAAAAATAAAACAACCCCAAACACCCAAGACTTTTCTACGTCCGGCTCTTATAAGTCTCTTTTCCTTGTAACTTCTGTTCTGCTTGTCCACGAGTGACGGGACTAACAAAGCCTGAAGCAGAACTATATTCTGTCTCATTTTGGGAGAGGGAGGAACAGGCAATTTTTGGCTTCCTTGTGGAAGGCAAGAAAATTCTGTGTGGAACTATATTTAAACTCAGGTCAGGTCTGGCCAGATGTCGGAATTGTTGCCTGTACAACAGCGAAAAAGGGACCTTTGGTTGAAAGGGCTATCTGCTCCTCTGTACCTTGGCTAGGCTGCATATGTGGCCATTAACAATGTTGTCCTTTCTGTATAGGTATTAGGTCAGACTTACAGCTGTGCTAATATGGTAAATTATAGCTGTGCTGAACTGTCTCAAATTGGTCCTTAGCTCAGTTCTGTGTCCTAAAACATGGGTTAGAATCTAATGTCAACTAATTAAGAAATACCACATTTTCAGTTTGAACCTTAGTCTGAGAAAGTTCACTTCTTTGCCACTGTGACTTAATTACTAAATGAAACCAGCTACTGAGTAAGAGGGTGTGTATTAAAAAATGTGTGGCAGAGGTCCTTGCACTAACTTAGGGATGCTTCTAAATGAAGATATATAGTATTATTTAAATGACGAACTATAGTTTCATATCATAATGCACTTCAATTAGTAGAAACAATCACCTGTCAGTTTAAGATTAAGGGACTTGGAAATCTCAGGAGGTTTTGGCTTTGTGGCTTAACGTGCGAATAGTAGTTTGTGCTCAGCTCAGAACTGACTCTACTTCTCCTTAATGTATCCTCTAAAGGATGTTATTTAGTACTTAATCAGAATATGATAGTTTTTCAGCAGGTCTGTGGGTGGTTTTTTTCCCCTTGTAATTCAACACACAATTGAAACCTCTGAATTTAATTTTTTTTGTCTATCTGGCTTACAGGATTTACATAATTGGTTCCTCATGCAGTATTTCTCTATTATTCTTTGTGATATTTCTATGCTGTGTGAAATGTCTTAGTAATTTTCCAGGGGCTGTCTTAGCAGTAGTGCTGTGCGTGGTCTTTAAACTCAGTCCTTGCACATGAAGTATTGCAGTGTTATCAGGAGAGAGATGCAAGTGAATGGAAGGAAAGCAGAGTTTCTGAAACTAACTGGTGCTCTAACAATTCTGAAACTTCTCCTGCAGCTCTACCTGCTTATTTTAAAATCAGCCTAAAGAGATGATCATGATGTAAGAGGGATTTCAAAATAACCATTTAAGATATGGGCGTATTACAGTTCAGAGGCATGACCATAGCTCTTCTGGACATACTATGGCTAGCTTTGCACTACCTGGGCTGGGTCATGGCAGAAGGGACCTTGAGGTGCCCAGGCTCACCTGGGACCAAAGATGTCTGCTTTCTGGGGGCAGCTAATGCCACTGTAAACTAACCAGTGCAAGTCTGCACCAGTTGGCAGTTTGGCATGAACTGAAATCATCTGACTGCCGCATAGGCACAGGTTGAGCAGAAAGAAGATGCAAACCATAGATGGTATCAAATAGTATCTTGGTCCCAAATATCCTTATTAATTATTATAAATTCATAATTCCTCTTAAAGTGAGTTAAGAACTGCCTTTTAAGGACAGGAAGTGTTACTTGCTTAATAGTGAAGAAGAACATGTTCAGAACGGCTTGTTTGTTTGCTCAGCCATTTCTTTTACAGAACTGGCCTTTATTTTTGTCATACTTCTTCCTCACATGACAACCATGTGGCTATAAACAGGGCTTATGAACCTCTGCTGTTGGATGGGGTCACATTACCACAGTTATTTTTTTTTTATGGACTTGAAATCCCATGTGTGTGCAATATTCTGTGTTAAAAGAAAAGCAAGTAAACAGGTTAGGGGAAAAAGCAGGCTCTGAAATGAAAATGTCTCTGTCCTACTGTGTTTCTGTCATCCATTAACATGCTGTTGAAGTAAACAGAACATTATGATGTATTGGTCCGTTCAACAGCACAGCAGGTGCATCCTGCTTAGAGTATTCAGTAGCTATCAAACACTTAGAGTGCTACCTAAATTACCTCCTTTCTTCTTTCCGCAGAAAATAAGCTTAGAATGACCCGGCTCGCAAAGTGTCTCTGAGTAGGTTAAGACAGTCTTCCCATTTATGATCAGGTCAACCTTGCCGTACAGTTCCTTGATGCTGTGTCCTACACACAAAGCAGAAGGAGAGCTCAGAGAAAGTGCAAGGGTAAACAGGTCTATTACTTTATTTTTAAAAAGATTCCATTTTTTCCCTGCTGTGTAAGCCATTGAATGTTTTCTCTTCACTGAGAACTCCTGATACATAGAAATCCATGCTTCAGGAACAGGTCTCTAAGTCCCTTAAGGTATATAACAGGGGACATAATAGCATGTATCTCTATTGTTAAATAAACTATGCCCATGACCATTCTTTGACTCTGAGGCCAACTGGCATAGTAAATCTTGTGTCCATACATCTAAACTTTCTTTCCTACTGTCCCTAGCGGAGGGACCATATCCAATGGGCCTCTGGGAGCAGCCTGTGGCCTGTACCTGCTGCCTGGGAAAACAGTACCTGGCCTGAGCCAAACCTGTGCCAGGGACCAGCATAGCAGCTTGACAGTGCTGGGAGGTTGCCTGCTTGTGCCTGGCTTGCTGACACAGATACAACCAGTGAGGCTACTGGATTTAGTGGGAGGACCTGTACTCTGAGTTGTTGGAAAAGTATTTGCAGATGACTGTAACGTGATTTTTGCAGGCTTGTTCAACTTTGTAGCCACCTGAAAACTGGTGCTCCCAAGGCAAAAGGGCAGCATGTCTCACAGGAGGGAGACCTTTTGCATGCAAGGAAGCATTCCCAAACGCTAAAAGACACTTGGCACACAAACTTATTTTCAGCACCAGGAGCATACAGCAGTGCTCTCATATTTATGCTCTGGTAGTAGAGGTTCTAGGTGAGCTTGGGGCCAACAGGGTTGCAAGAAGGTGGCTTTCCTGTGCAAGGATCACAAGTCAAGCTATGGCTAATATTACTTTGTGCACCCAGCCCATCAGCTCAAATGCAGTTTTGCTTTTCACCTTTTATTGCTGATCAGTCAAGTGCTGGAGGGTGTAACTTCAGCTAGCACAGGTGGTGAGCTGATGGCATGACTGCGTTGCCTCAGGCTAGCACTCCTGCAGTGCTCTGGGTCTGCAGCACTCCCCAGCATTCATCTTTGTATGACAGGGAGGTGCCCCCATGTTACTCTGTGGGAGTCCCTTAGTTCAGTCTCCCACCTGCAAGGGACAGCCTCGGTGATTTGGTAAGCACTGCTGGTGCTGACACAGGAATGTGGGTGATATAGCTGTCTCATTCAACAAGACTCTCCCCAGAAGACTTACCTGTGAAAAGAAGCTCTAGAGCGGCCCCCATGTTGGCTATCCATATGTACAAATGAAGGGTAGGAGAGGTATAGGGGCTGAGGTCTGATAAGACCTGCTTAGGGTGACACACGTAGTCTGAGGCAGAACTGATAACAGAACCAAAGTTTCTGTAGCCCCACGCGGGTTTTGAAATGTCTAAGAAATGGAGCCCATTCATATTTTATCGGAGGTTGTCATCCTTGCTTACTACTTAATACTAGCACTCACACACGAATTACCTGTTTATGGCATGAGAAAATAGCAATTCACTTACTTAGGACTATAGCAGCTCTGACGTTAAAGGTGTGGGTTGTGATATCAGAACAACGGTCAATGCTGAAAGCAAAATCTTGCTGGGGATCTGTTTGGAGACAGAAAGCAGTGGGTAACAAGTTGTATTTTTAATGAGATACTGACTCTAGTGAAGAAAACAATAAAATACAGAACTGTAATAAAGAACTGATTACATATCTTGGAGAATTTCTAAGGAATATGCTCAAAGCTCCCATACCCCATGTTTAATAGCTACTTCTGTCCTTCCTGCGACTTCAGTCTGAAGCACATTTGGATAATAGCCTTATATGTGGCCTAAAACCTACTGTGTGGGGAAAACAAGCCAAGTTCAGGGAAAGCAAGTTCCCCACAGCGGTGGGTAGTCAATACTCATTCAACAGTGAAGTCTTAGCACAGCTGCTCTTCCCAGGCTCTGCACATTGCCATTCCTTCCTCAGCACTGACAAGCAATTGGCTATGATGATGTTTTAAAATTCATTTGTATCACAAGGCGGCTGGGTGATACAGGGCTGTCTGGGAAATCGAATCCTGAAGTGGGATGAAAAGTCCAAAAATGAAAATAAAATTGTGTAACTGAGATTCTGCAGTATTTCATGCTGGGTCCACCATCACGTGATATTTCTAACCCAGGAAATATGCTACATGTCTCCCTTTCTGGGAGACTTTAGCAGGGCTGAGGTAAAAGGGAGCCCGACAACTGATGACTGACATGAACGTGGCTCTTACCAGTTCCTGCAGTACCCCTTTCTCTGCATCAAGCTCCAAAACTCTTGTACAAACATAATTGCTTTCCCTCCACTCCCACCTTCTTCCTTGCTAGCGTCCCTGAGGCTCCGTGCTATGCCTGAAGGCTAGCCAACATGTTGCTCTCTGGTGGCAGCCGGCAGCAACAACTGACAGCTCAGCTGCCACAACCAACAGCACGTGCAAGTGTTTTCCAGAGCTGTGGCTAGAGGTGAAAGATTTGGCCAGTTTGGCAGCATATCATCTTGAGTCTCAAGGCTTGCTTTAGGTATAGGTTTGTCCCTCATGGTGGGTTTCCAGCCAGCCTGTGCATCCAACTTCCTTCTCTGTGGAAACCAGAGAAGTGACTACGGCATGTGCAGAAGCAGCCATAGGCTCCCTTGTTTGTTTATTTACAAAATATAGACTTGGGAATTGAATTCTGTTTCTAAGTTATTGTTGCTTGAGGTAATCTTCTGAATTGAAAATAATGGGTTGGGAGAATTTTCCTTTGATGCTGTGGTGAAACTTGTCATGTGTGTCCTCTGTGAGGCTGAGCTAGCATCTCCATAGTCTGACTCTATTTTTGCAGCAGTGCTCCACAGCTGTAGCAGCTGGTAGGCACCAAGCCTGGGTGACCAAAGCCTGATTGCTTAGAAGGGAGCACAAAATGAATTAAAGTGCTGGCAGGAGCTGGGGGCTCTAACTAAGCCAGGCTCTGCAAGCAAACGGATTGTCGGTGTGGTCCAAAAGGAGCTCCCGAGTTGTAAGTTCTGGTAAATTAAAATAACTATTTAAAGGAGGGAGATAAGTCACTGGTATTTCTCATAGCTCTGTGTTCCTGTGCTGGATTTTGTCCTCCATACCACTAAAGCAGTCTCTGCAGTTGCATGATCTGCTTGGAACAAAGTTGGTGCCTGGAGTTGTTTATCGGCTCAAGTGTGACGAGTCAGTGTGTCTTTCCTCCATTTCCATATTCCTGTCAGTTCTCACTGCGTTATTGCAGCTTCAGAAGCTGTTGGAATCGGGTAGGAAAGCAGCTTCCTGCTCCAGCCGGAAAATGTGTCAAACGTCTCTCTTCTCCAGGACCGTTATGCCTGCTTCCCCTCTGGTCTCTACCACCTCTCAGGGCTTGGTTTCCGCTTTCCTCTGGACTTCTGCAAAAGCCCCTCTCATTTCTGTTTTGTGTGTGGTGTGATGATAAAGTTCAGGAAGCAGCTGCTCAGATTTAGAGCAACTTGGGCATCGGTGCCTACAAACAGTGCTGGTTGTCAAATGACTAAAATTATTGGCTCTGTAATTTCCAGAGGGAGCTATGGTGAAAAATGGCACTGCAACATATACGATGCTCTTCTCTTTTCAAAGAGAACTAGGCTGTGCTTTAGTCAACAAATTAAATCATGGTATTAGGGCTACAAGTTGAATTTTTAGTTCACAATTGATCATCAATAACTGTTTGGATGGAAAGGCAACGTTCATGAAACCAAGCTTCTCTGGAAAGCATGGGTTTCTTACAATGAACCTGACCTCAGGATCATTTTAGTTTGCATGTCTCATGCCTATTTCTTATGAAGAAAAAAATCTTTTGCCAGATGACATATTTCATGGTGCATTGTAGCCATGGGTGTCTTCTACTGCACTGCTAGTGATGCAGCATAGGACTCTGATGTATCCAGAGAAGTGTTGTCTGGTCCCCAGAGAGGGAGAGAGCGTGGAAGCACTTACATGAGAAATTCCAGCAAAATTTGTGAATTAGAGCACTTGGATTTTGTGTTGTTACTCTGTGGCTGAGAAATGTAAACTTTTCCACTGGCAAAAGAAATCCCAATTAATCTTCTGACCATATCCCTGTGGAAATTCAGGCTATGACTTTGCAATCCAACATCTTAGATATTGTGGTGTATGTG